TCTGGATTACCCAAAATTATCGTGAACTGTGCCTTTAATCAATCCCATGTGAGCGATGTGCCTACGCATTCGACTTCCATTCAGAATCGCAGTGGCAGATTGAGTGCGTATGTAGCCTATGCAGCGACTTGTAGTGGCCAGCCGACTTACAAGTCAGTGTTTTTTTATCCTCCCAGAAGAGTCTGGTACCAACTAACCGCCCAGGGAAAAAGGGTTTGGTCGACCCAGGATTAGAATCTATGACCATGCGTGTGATAATAGCCTTTTGCCACTACATTAGCTTCTGACGACATTGTATGACAACTTTTCCTATCCTTCGTTTGTTGCAGCCAGCTCCTTACCACAGGACTGCAACCTCGTAAAAACACTCCTATGTCATATAATCACTTCCGTTGTCATAACTTCATACAAACCCCTACTTGAACTGGGGTCCGGGAACATCTCCCCTAACACGGTGTCGCACACGCCGCACCCGCCGCTTATCAAAGGATTGCGATGGAAGATTGGAGCGCGCAATTTGTGAGGTAGGGAGTCCTTTAATTATTTGTATTGGCTGACCGCTTTTTTTAATTTCAATGCAGTCTTGATCGTCGCTTACATAGGAGGAGTCATTTTAATTAATCTAGTCTAATAAACATGAAAACTAAAAAGAAACAGAAGAAAAAACGATAAAATCCAATGAAAAAGCAAGCCAGTCAAGGAAAAATATCGCGTCCTATCGATTGGCGGGAGGCGGGGTGAGTACGGTAATTGCGGCGGCACTTGCCGCATGCCGCAAGGGAGTATGCCGCGATAGGGGAGAAGTTCCGTTACCCCTTGAACTGCTTCTTTGGAGCTTTATATTTTTCAAAGTCCGCAGATTTTTGTGATTTCTTCAGCACCGATGCGCATTCTTCTGCGACAGCATTCCCGCTCTCAGCTCACAGAAGGCGCATTAAATCTATTGTGAACTATGGCTTCACACATGGAGAGAGTTGTGAGGAGAACAAAGAACATCCGACTTCGCACTCACGTTGTCGACGCTGCATATCTCCCCGCTTTGATATACGTCTCAGGAATTTCGACTCAACGCGAGCAAGATGAGCAGAAATCAGCCTCATTCGACGCTCTGTGGGAAGAATATTGCTCGAAATTTTTTGATCTACGGAAGTGCAAAGGGGATTGGAACCCTGAGCTCCGTCAACGACCGAATGTTAAAGACGCGGTTGCTCATGTGTACTCCAGCTTGAAGAAATTGATGATCAACGGGACGACAGATGATGCAGGTAACACTCGTGTACCGGTGACGGTGCTTCTTCTTCTAAATCTACTGAAAGGAAAAAAGCATGCAGAGACTCGAAGGATTCACCCTTGGAATAAGGATATAGGACAAAGTTTCCTGGCATTTATCAATCCGATTTTTGGAATGCGTCAACCATTGTCTCCATTTTGTTGTTACCTGCTACCTTCCATGGCGTTGGCCCAGGCTCAAGCAGTTTGAGTAATGGGGCTAAGAATAGAATCAGTTGCCAGACAGGTTCAAAAATCCTCTTGCTTCACTCCCTCTCCCGATTGGATGAAGGAGTCTGACGTTTACAGATCTACTAATCTGCCAGTCCAGTAAAGGCTAGTGGTAATAATGAATGTAGGGATTCCAAGAGCTGTTTCAGATATCGTCCCTGGTTTTCATCCTTCTATCTCTTCGAACCCGTGAAATGTTACCAGGCTCGTCTGGAAAGATAAAGACAGGGGCATGGTATCAGCTGGTTCCGCAACTTATTGCCCTGCCATACACCTTTTCAAACACTGTTATGATTCGGAGCGATTCGAATTCATCGGAGCACCACAGAAGAGGGCTTAATGGACCGACTTATCCATTCAATCCAAGCAGTACCTCCTTGGACTAGGTTGGAGAAAATGCCTGTTTCGCTCTTAAAATCCAGGAGAAGCAGCTGCTAGGAGTAACGTCTGAGACTGTCAGCAGAAGCAAAGAATACTCTAACACTATTCATGTGGCAGTAATGTCCTACTCACTGCTGTCTTAGCTGTCCATTCGACCCTGCCGGTACTTCTCCCCGAAGCTCCCCGAATTCCTACGGCAAGCGGTAGTGATTCCGCTGGGGACACTATGCAGACCATTTCTTCCCCGTTCATGCCTACATAAACAGTTCTCATGGCTATGTAGGCAAAATCAGTCGGGCTGAACCCGCTTCTGGATCTGCTTGCTCTCACTGTTGCTTCAGCCAGTGTTCTGCCAGCTCAGTCCTAAGAACGACTCGTGTAAAACGTTTATAGGTCTACGGCAGCTAGGCCAGGCAACAACTGCCATCTCTCTTCTTATACAGCAGTGCGAATCCACTGCACCTGTACGATTTTCATTGGCAAGGCATCAAGTAGTCAAATCCCGGGTGAGGGGAAGAACTGAATGAATTGCTATCTTATTCGCCCTCATGCGCCCTATCTATACCCCAGGAGACATTGGTGCCCCGCAGTATAGGACCTACATGATCAGCACACAGGGATGCTAGGCTTCTGAATCAAACTGATCTGGATCTACCCAATCGTTTGTCCTCGTCTGAACAACCATCTGGGAGAGCGAATACGGTATGGTTTTCTAGACAGGTAGGTCCAGCTCTCCCCATAGTGCCCCAGTACCACAGGAATTGAAATACACATTCACCAACGCTACACTATCCCCTGGCCATAGGACCAGCTCAAATTCCAATAATCTTCCCAGCTTCCACATTACGGTACGAGCCAAAGGTTCTGGGATTGATACTTTTTTCGTTCATGAAACAAGAAAATTCGAGAAAAAGCGCGTAATCGATGAGTGTGTACGTAAGCTGCAGAATAGACATCGTACCTGGCGGCAAAACCATCACTGGCTCTAAAGTTTGTGGCAGAGTTTGTATGAAATCTTACCGGCTGTAATTCACTTTTTCTTTGAAACTTATATTTTATGCTGTCATACTTGTTGTATTTGTTACTCAATTAGATTTGTTTAGAGTGAATAAAGGGAGGTTTTAACTTCTTCATTATGGCGGCATTGGCAGCCAGCTCGGAAGGGACCGGTTTAAATCCTATGTCGTTCACTGATCAACATGGAAGTGTGGGTAAGTAGACCTAGACCATTTTTGATAGAGACAGACTCATTTGTGTTCCTTAGTTTGTTTTTAAAATCCTTTAATTTTCTGTACAACAGTTGGCAAACGAAGTAATTCTCTCTATTTTGTTTTTGCTTTTCCCTTTTTTCGTCATTTTGTTTCTGGGGTTATTGAAATCTTTTTTGAAAACACCTCTCAATCGAAGTTTAAAACCACTGGTTTGAATGAAATTATACTTCATTTAGAGGGAAAACTTTTGCGATACTTCTTCGCGCCTAGTTGCTTCTTTGGACATTAATACAGGAGTTCGTTCGCTTGACAATTGAGGCTACCACTGTTTTTCCTCCGCTAGTTTCGTTTCATCGTGGGTAAAATAAATCAAATTAGAAATTAATGTGTGCAGTTTGTTGCGAATTTTCACTTTGTGGTCGTGGTTGTTGTAAAGCCGCGCTCAACCCTAAATTGACCCAATACACAGTCTCCGAGCGCTCACTGCGAAAATAAAAACAAAATTAATTCAAAATAATGTACAAGTTCATCTCTTGCAAACAAATTTCGTCATGCTCCTATGCCCTGCTCCTACAGCCAGTGTCCTTGGGAATAGCAAGATGGATCAGTTAGACACATTTTATGTTAAATACTAAATACTCATCGAAATAGCGACTTTCACGGAAACTTATGTAGCTTATTTATTTATTTATTCAAAACCCCTAAGGGTGACCACATCAATCACACAGAAAAAGGGAAATTTTAGGCTAGAAATTAGGGTCTCGTCAGGTCTAAAGCAAGTACAAATCGAAACGCATAACTCTTTTTGCCACTTACTATCAATTTCTCTTTACAAAATATTACCAAAAGCACATATCAGTGTGAGCGCTTTACAGTTGTCAACTTGTAGCCAACGATCAACATGAAATGGTACATTTTTATTGAATTATGCATCAAGAAAGCAAAGAAATGCAGAAAGCTGAAAAAATGAGAACTCTTTTCGGTGTCTTCGAGGAACATCTCGAAAAATCATTCGATCTCACGTATTCAGCTACGACTTAGTAGTTGCCCTCGGCGGCTTTGGGTGCATGAGGTTCATGGCGCTCTTCAGCTGCGATAATACTGCACCAAGACGTTTAGTGGATAATTCGTAGTAAAGATTCCACCTTGACCTCATTCTTCTGAGGGAAGTGCTTCACAGGACAACCACACAAATCACTTCTACGGAAGTAGTGAGAGCGCACTTTTCATAAAGTGAACTGCTCATTTGACATATACAGCATACCTTTCGAAGTGATATCCTGTCGCTTTGGTCATGTGGGGAAAGGATGGATAGGACTGAAAGGAGGTTGAAGAGTTGCCATCTGATTTTAAGAAAAAGAGCAGCCTTCAAGGTGTTATGATGGTCGTCTTTTCCTATATTACATGGGCTAATATTTCGAAGAGCATTTTCTACTTTTTTTGTTGAAGTAGACTTTTTCTGCTTTCAAAACTTCTAAAAGCACGCNTTTTCATGCCTATGTCGAGTTGTGGAGTCTTTCTTCTAGTCACATTTTTAGTCCTGGAACGGATGAGGTACCAGCGGGAGACCGGTCGCTTTTGCGACGTCTGTATCGTTGTCAAAGATCGCCAGTTTTCTGCCCATCGTAACATTCTCGCTTCGTGTAGTCCTTATTTTGATTCAATTCTTAGATCCACAAAGGTCACGAAGGAACAGGTACTGCCAGACTATTTTATCTCTTCCACATAGCCATAAATAAATTTCACAGGTTATTGTGAATTGTCAGCAACCAAAGGCGTTCGAGTTGTTATTAAACTATATGTATAGTGGGTGCGTTGTGATTGATCGAACTACTGTGGCTGAACTTCTCCGTTTAGCGAACAATTTTTTGGTATGTTCTTAATATCGGATGTATTTCGTATGTGTATTTCTATTACCTATTCAACTTCTTGTAGGTTACGAAACTCAAGAATTACTGCGCAGAGTATCTAGACAGGTATTTGGATGCTGCTAATTCGTTATCGGTACGGCAGCTCGCAACTAGATATAATTTACCGGCACTGCTAAAAGCGGCATCTGAATACTTTGATGTCAACATCAATCGATGCCTACTCGAATCCCTTGATATTCTCAAGTACCCAATGCCGCAGCTTTTGAAAATATTGGAGGATCCCAAATATCAGGACGTCATTAGCCCGGATGTATATTTGAAGTTGGTTCCCATTAGAGTTTTTGTACATTTATCAGTCTTCGGATTATGACTCTCTTGATTTTTTTCTTTTTCAGCTTGCGTTGTTGGTCTCTATCCGTATACAGTTGTAGACATCAAATGAGTTTTAGGCTTATCGTGCGTTGGGTTGGCGAGGACGTACCTAGCAGAGAATCTTCTTTTCGGTCGTTGCTGGAGCGATGTCACATACCTGATGTATCTGATAACGCACTTGAATTTGTATTGGACTATTCTCCGCTTCTCACGAAAAGTCAGACTTGCAGACATATGTTGCTGAGCGCCATGTGAGTAGAAACATGAGGAATTCTTTCACCCCTCACCGGTTAAGGAACATCCATTGAAATTCATGTCGGTTAAGGCATGCCAGCGCAATTCCAATGCCCAAATATGAGCAGCAATTCATTTCCCTATCGCAGCAATTGGGAGGAGAAGCAGTTTCGACGACGCTCCTGGATTGTAATGCCGCTGGGCCTGCTGGAGACGAAGATTATGAAAATGACTCGAGGTATGAGTGTGTTCTCCAAGTCAGCGTGGCAATTTTGTGTGTCTGCTAAAACTACATTACATTATAAAGTAGCACTTATGGATTAGATTCCCCATGTGTAAGGTATGATATTTTTATATTGTTCTTCGGCTGAAATTTTTCAAAAATCCAAGTTTCCACTTTGGCGTATTTTCATTTCTCATCTGTAGTTTTTACAGCTTTTGGGGTATTTTTCTTTTATATTATATACTAATTATTGCTGATTGGTGTTTGGGCTCTGTGGAGGGGCTTAAATATACATCTATTTGGAAACATTACGTCATGTAGTGAATTTTCCTGCTATTCCACTAGAGTTCCTGCGTTTGATGGACAAAATCTTATTCTTTTCTTTTGTTTCTTTTGTTTTGTCATTTTCTACTGCTATTTTTAGCCATGTTTCACATTTCTTAATACTGCCTCTATTTATGAGAAAGGCTTGTAAAAAAGCCTCCGTGAATAAGCAGCCTGTTTGACTTGCTAATCAGTGTAAAGCGTTCTCCATGCTTTGAACAAGATTTTGAAGTTTTTTCTTTTGGTCACAAACAGTTGCTTGGCTTGGAAATGCTGCTTTTTTGGCTAGAATATTTCGTAGTTGAGTTATTTTTAGTGGCTCTCCAAGTTTCAGTGGGAAAACTAGAAGGAAACCATCTCTAAATTGATAAAGTCTCTATACTTTTCAGTTACGAGCACATGGATGATGAAGAAGAAGAGCCACCAGTCGAAGGGCAGCCCTCCACAACAACAATTGTTAGTTGAGACGTGTCTGATTAGTCAGTTGAGAGCATTTCTTCTTTTTTTTTAGCTAGAGACTACCTACACTGAAGATGGAGTCGAAAAGCCACGTTTACGTTTAAAAATCAATCTAGGAGCTCTACCGCTATCAGATATCAATAGGAAAAGGTGGGTTGTGATCTCTCCCACTTATGTATCCATGTAGCAAGTTTTCAGATTCGGTAAATCTAAACATCAACGCAAATCTCTCAGTAATGGCAAATCCGGGATTAAGAAAAGAGGACGACCTAAAAGAACTGACGAGACTGAGAGTAAGTCAACTTTTCCATATTTCATTGTGAAGTAGATTAACCATTTTGGCTATTCTGCTACCGCTCTATGGACATTAAAAAAGTGTGAATATTCAAATTTTTTTGTATTTGACAATGTAATCAGTTCTCTATCTTTCGGTAATAGCAAAGCTGTTTATTGCAATCGGTTTCTCAGAATTACAAGATCGAAGTCTGTTTTCTTAATCATTTCGGCTCCTTTCCGATTCATCTGGGTCTACCTGGTGCTTGCTATCATCCATGTCTCATCTGTCTTGAGCGAATTCTCTAATTTTGCTCAACAAAATCATTTTTTTTAACTTCCAAGCATGGTGGAAACAAAACTCGAGAATTTCGACACGTCGCCGCTTACCCTCAACAGGCTCGGCCCATTTAGAGTCAGTAGTCGGACCTCTAAGTAACTGCCTACTATTGTTAATCTTCAATTTTCTTTCAATAATGGCCTGGCTTATGAATCTCCGCTGAAGGCAGCACTCAACAAACATGGCGTTAGGGACACGCTCTGCATGCTGTCGTGATAGTAACATCGCCACCATTATCACAGATCACGTCTTTTAATGAATTGTTTCGCCCTTATGTAACAAAGTTTCTTTTTTAGACGTGCCACAGTAGTCGCGACCATTAGCTAACCTTTGTCGCCTAAAATACAACTTACTCCACCCACTTCTCTCACAATGTCGAGACCAACTTTGAAACTCTTAAGTAAATTCAGCTGCTGTGCGACTTTGGCATACTTTTCGTCAAAAGGTGGTGCTCCTAACTCATGTGTGGCCGTACATTTTGACCCATAACCTGTGCCCTCCAAGGACATCTGGTCTTTTCAAACGCTTCTTCAGCATTGCATAGTATTGTGCAGAAAAGCGCACTGACAAATCGTTTTATATTTGATCAGCTTGAAATATAATTAGTTTTTCTTTGCAGTTTTGCCAATGATGGATGATGACGACCTCGATGGTGTGTACGCGACATCATCTCTTGCTGGAGCTGTCACCTATACGGAAGAGGATGCTTTCGATCCTGAGGAAGTAGAAGATGGGGAGGATTTGCATGTCGATGGAGGTCCACACACTTGCAAGTTCTGCAAGTTCGCAAGTACTTCGGCCGAGGTTCGACAGTTTGTGTTACATTTGTTCATCTTCTGTTCCCCACATACTTTTCTAGGAAGTCGAAAAACATCGCGCTCGACAGCACAATCGTAATACTGCCTACTTATGCCAGCTATGTGATTATGAGGCCACATGGAGCAAATCATTCTACAATCATTGCAGGGAGCACTGGGTGAGTCAAAGAAAAAGATTTACACCAGTCCACGACAGTGATTTCTCTCTGAAGAAGGCTAATTTGATTCCTTTCCAACTAAGCTTTTTCTGCCCCTTACGCTCTACTTTTCATCCTACTATTACTGTTCTTCTTCGAATTTTATTCTAAATTAATTGGATTTTATTTTATTTTTTTTATTATTTTCTTCGCTATGCAACCCCGCACGTCTCTCGTCAGAATTTCAGGCGTAACTTTTTCTTATATCGCTCTTAGCAAACTTAAATCTTCGTTCATGATTAACATACATTTGCGCAGTAATTCGCTTGTTGATCGTGTAAGTTTTTCTATCAAGGTATGCGAAAATACACACGCTTGTCGCTATTGTTCACGCAGATGACCTCTATCAAAAAGTTGAACAAATAAGATTTTCTTTAAGGCAGAACCTCCATACTCATGTGACCAATGTACGTTTGTTGCCAAAGACACTCTCCAAGAACTTCTAGCTCATCGCTTGAGCCACAGTACGTTCGATTTCTTTTTGTTGGTTTTGGTCATAGTCTGCTAGTATCATTATAAGAATTCTGTTAATATGAGTAAAATCTTAACCTTGGGCTAACTACTACTAAACTACTCGGACTAAAACAGTGGCCGGTACCGTGCTATCTGCTACGCTGCAGAGATTTAAGAGATAACTCTAGCTTTCGTTCCTTACTTAGCCGCATTTACTGCAGCTTTTTAGCATTTAGTGACTACTCAGCGTAGGTCATAAGCACCTTTTGAGTTTTAGCAACTGGGTATAGTTTGATAAAAGAAGGAATCTGATCGATTGTGCTAGTCAAGGGATGCATTTCAAAGCTGTGCATGAATACGACTTCTGCATTGTTGTTCTGAGCTAGTTTAACTACAAAAAGCCAGCCACCAATTGACGTGAACCAATAACCTTGCCCCGGGAATCGGGGGAGACGGGCGTTAGGAACAATTTTGGGTAATCGATTCGCCGCACGCGGCTGTCGCGGACCACACGTTCGCCGTTATTACAGCTCTAGCGTTCCTCATACAGCTCAATCGATATACGATCATTATTTTATGCATAATTCTACTATTAGTACTTCTGTTCTTGTATTTCTTACCTACTGCTGCATCCTGCTACATTCCTTCGCGCGCGACGCCCCTCTAATCGCTACGCGACCATTTCGTTCCTAACGCACCACACCCGGGAATCGGAGAGGGTACTATATCAGCTTGGATCACTTTGCAATCCTTCTAAGCGGGTTTCAAAGAGGTGGTTTTTTCGGAGTGAGTTAGAGCTCCCAATGCTCATTGAAGTAGATTCTTCGTTTTTTACTTTTCAATCTGGTGTAGTTCATTAAGTCGATTTAGCAACGGACCGCTTCTTCAAATGTCTTGAATGCAACTTTCGCGCTCGCACTCGAACCCAACTTTGGGCCCATGAGCGGATGCATAGCAGCTTGGATGAGCGGCCTCTTCACTGTGAAGAATGCGGTAGAGGTTTCAACACACATACCGCCCTGGAGATGCACTTTTCGTCTCATGATGAACCTCGGTCAGTGAAGCTGGTGCAATGTGTTTCTTCCATACTTGTCTATCAAAACATCTTGGTGAAGCACAGTTTATCCTAAGAATGATGGGAGATGGGAACCAGCTCTTTCAGAAAAAAAATTAAATCGGAAAAATAGTTCACTTGTTATGACTAGGAATAGCTTTGCTTTTTGAACTTGAGAAAGCTTTGCCGAATTTGTATGTAGTGCCAGAGTCTTTGTAGACATAGGAATGTTCAGAAATTGAATTATCATTAATCTTCTAGGCTTTTTGTTTCAGATCCATGGTTTGTGAAGATTGTGGGTTTGCTACTTCAAATGCAGATCATATGACATCTCACCGTAGACAGCATACCGGAGATATGTTCTATTGTCATATTGGTAATTTATGCTCGTAGCTCTTTAACATTTTTTTGGTACATATTTGGAAGGCACTCTATCTCCAGAATTATTTATATTTTCATCATAGATAACTGCGACTATTCCTCGCCGAAGAAAAGTCAGTTGGCTGCTCATTTGAGAACGCACATGGCTGTGCGTGCGCATATGTGTAAGGTTAGTTTACATGGTCATTAGTACACATCACTCACCCAGTTCAAATGAAGCTTTCCAGATTTGTGGCCGTGGCTTCATAGAAAAATCTCACTTGGTCCGTCATGAACGGATACATCTTGAAGACAAACCGTTCAAATGTGATGCTTGTGATTATGCATCCAGTCGTCGCGACAAATTGAAGGTTAATTCAGACCCGATACTCTAGTTAATGGAACGAAAGTAAGAATTTTTCATGTAGGAACACATTCTCAAGCATCACAATGGAACCATGGTTAATAAGTCTCAGAGGCGTCGCTATCGAAGAGCTAAACAACTGGCTGCGCTTACCGCTCAGGTGACTCGAAATTTTGTATTAGATTTGATCGAGTGGTTGTTATGTTTGTTCGATAGTTTTTTGAAGTTCTCTTCAGAGCAAAAAACCTTACGTCACACGGGACGAGACACATTGTTGTGTTCATTGGGTAGTCATCGGTCACCATTGAGGCAATTGCAATTTAGACATAAATATCTAGAAGCACAAAAAAGATGTAGTCCCCCAACGTTGGCGTACATATCGCACTTGTCTCCTGACACTTTCGAATCATTGGATTGGATGGGAATTAAAAGATTACATGTTAACTTGAGCTAGAAGCAGCACCAAGACCATTTCCGCTACTACCTCTGCAATGGAAAACACGGCCTCATGAGCAGTCTTATCGTTAGTAATTGCCTTCTTTTGGAGCAGCGCTTCTCCATTGACATTTCTGAATAGACTTGAGTTGTGGTGACTTGCTCATTGTTGATAGCCTCTTGTGGTCGATCGTTTTTGTTTTGTCTTCCAAGCAGTATGCTGGTTCTATTTGGTACTTTATATTCAGAGATTTATATATTCTAGTTGCCTGATCGATCCGCTCCGCCTGAGACAATGTTCCGTCCTATTCCTGCTAATGAATCTGTTTCGCAGTGGGCAGAATCGCAGTCTTTCCGGGTACAATTTTTCGGCATTTCAATGCGTCTTTGTGTTTCTATTGATTAGGAACTGTTTAGAATGAGGAACAGTATTCTCCACAGCACGCTCAACGATTGAATTCAACAATTGCTGGACAACCAGGACCGTCACAGCCAATCGCAGAATTTTCACCATTGCCTCGTGCTTTCTCCGTCACAAATCCTGTTGCACCTCCGCTCGTAGGAGCTATGTCGCCTGGATCGATGTCGTTGATGAACGTCCATTTGGGAGGAGTAGACTCACCCTTGATTGAGAAGAACAACATTAACGGTCTCGACAACACACCGTCATTGGTCACGCCTGTTCCTGTACCAAGGTTCGTTGCACATTTTTAATTTCTTCAACACAGAGTTTTAATTATAGTTATGACAATTCTCTTCCTTCCTGCTCGTGGTTTATACAAGCCATCATTTTCAGATCACATGTAATAGTCAACTCATATCAGTTCTTATCCTGAACAGTTTGCAGGTCTCCTCACAATCGCTCCGATCCTTTCGGCATAAATACCCCTACCGATTTGAATCGACCAATGAGCTTACCTCCGTATGGTCAAGCCCAAACATCCCAACAGCCGTCAACAAGTGAACAACAACAAAGCTCTGGTCAATGGTTGTGGTAACTTCCTATCACTGTATGTAACACTTTCTCATTATATCATATAATATGTACATAGATGTTCAACTAAACTCGTCATCCGTTTTTATTACGTTCGTTTGTCGATATAATGCGTTTTTACTGAAGCGCTCCACTCGAAACCCTCATTTTTCTCAATGATATCCTGCGAGGGGAAATTGCGCTGTAGCTAGGATTTTTCAAACAAAGATATTCCGTATTTCAAGCACCTCTTAAGGCTTTAATGTCTTGTACCCCAACAACTCGTATTTGGACTACTAATCATAGACCACACACCTATATATAACGCACTATGTGCGAATGAGAAGGCTCATTAATCTCTAAGTGAACAGTGGGGTCAAAGAGTGCAGACTGACCTGGAGCTTCGCAAGCTCCGGCAACAGCTACCTTTTTAGAAGTACGGGAAATAATGCACGATTGGCATAAAGTTCTATGAGCATGACTGTTGTACAGAGATGTCAGAATATTAATTAGAAATAATGTACACCATGTGTACCACACTAACATTTTGCATTTTATCCGTCCGCTATTGCCATCTGAACGCGTTCTTATTTAACTGGTGAGCCCCATTCCTCTCGGAATAGCCCCGTTTAAATCTAAAATCCTCCCTTGCTTGGACAGTCTGACGCTTCTGGGTACAACCTTCTCCCTAAACCTTATTCTCTTAGCTCAGTTTTTTAGGTCAAAGGTATTATTGCCACTATGAATTATGCTTTACCTGCCATTCTGTCCCCGCCGGTTGCATTTATTTTTTGTGGATCTAATCGCAAGATTTTCTGACATTTGATCTACTGAATGTTTTTAATTTCTGTAATTCCCATTTCCCACACAATCGTTATGTGGAATACAGTTAAGAGTAAGAAAACCTTCTGGAGGGACCGTGCTAAACGTTAATTGAAATGAAAATGAATTTGAAATGTTGATGATGGAAGTATCAAAAGATGGTATAATTCACATTAGGCGATGGGTGGAACTAACAACTCTTGAAATTCTACAATTTCCTTGCTCCCGTGTCCGGTACCTTCTCCTCGAAAATGGTGTCGTGTACGCCGCACCCGATCGCGCGCTATGAAGGAAGAGCTTTGAATCCCTAGTGCAAGGATAAGGTGGCCCCCCACCTTTGCCGCTTGTCGTGGGAATTCGGGAAGAAGTTTCGGCGCCCCTTACTCCCTATTCCATGAATGAGGATGCATGTAATGTTGGATGATCTTTGAATCCTCTTTCATAATCAGGGTCACTTGAAGCAAGTTCAGTAAGGCCGAGGTCTGACCATAAATCGAGAGTCGGAGGTTTAGGTTAGTTGTCCGATGCAGAAAATGCATTCCTCGTATGGACGATGCCTAAATGTCGGTGTCACATACGCCCCAGTGGTGGGGAGGACCGTGTCAAACGACATACGTCATCCTTTGGTAGCTGTTGGAACTCGTTTGCAAATACCCGTTCCCTATCATGAAGATGCCATTCTAGCGTTTCCGTATGAGTGTAGAATTTTTTGCATGTTCTATAAATTCTGTGATCTGACCCTTACAGCTATTCTAATAAATTTCCTTAAGGAATAAGCTGAAACAACAAAGACGCATTGATTCGCAAACGACGTACGATTTTTTGTGTTCTAGTGCTATGTTTTATTTTGAACACCTAGGCATGTGAATACTTCATGGGTATGTGCAACTGATACAGCAATTGCTGATTGCATTAAACGAATAAATTTGCTGCGTAGTCAGAATTTACGTGCAGACAAAACTTAATAAAATCTTTGACATATTTGTTGTTAACAACCAAGTAACCTGAATTCAGTGAGGGCTAGAGAAAGGAAACAAATAACAATACGTCAAACGTAAAAGTTTCACGAAGTTTCTGTCAAGCGTCGTGGCTCGTGATCGTCGTCCAGACGGTCTCTGACGGAGCTCACTTGTCGATCAGAAATGCTGCAAAAGGTTTTTTGAGCGGTCATCAATGATTCAAGTAATGTATGGCATACCCAAGAATCCCAAGAGGAATCAGCAGGAGCGCAGCACTTGCGAGGTATAACAAACCAGGGAAGAAATGTAGCGTTTTCGGATAAAGATTGTTAAAAATTGTACTAGCAAGAATTCCAGTTACACCCTCCAACAATGCGATCACAGAGAAAACTTTACCTTGAAAAGTTTTAGGTTCAGACTTCGCTAAAATAGAAAGCATAAGCAGTTTTGCGATCTATTAAACTTACCTTGCTCATTGGTTTCTATGATACTGGAAATGAAAGATCGGAATCCGGTTGAGACAAAACGGTTCAATGACGTAAACGCTGAAAAAGGAAGGTCCGAGGGCGATTGCCTAACTAGAGTATATATAGTAGAAATACCGATTACTGAGTAGGCCATTCCAGTGTTGGCTACAAAGGCGAGCATCACTAAGGATATAACCTTTGCGAGTAGGCCAAGACATCCGAGAATACCGTCAGTGAATCCACGAATGTACAGGAGCGGATAGACAACCATAACCTAAGAAAGGAAAATCATTAGCATTAAGTCATCGCGTATGTATCGCTGTAACATCCATCAGAAAAAGACTGGTGATGTAGCCCATAATTTCTAGTAGTCAAGGACTTCTCATAAACGTCTCGTCAAACGAGTGTCGTTTTTCAACCCCTTTTCCTTTGTTGGCATGTTTCAAACGGAAAATATAATAAATTATAAGAAATTACTGTCAAATGAGTACTGTGGCGTGTACTAAAAATTTGCGACATTGAATCAACGGGAGTAAAAACGAACACATCCTCAATTAAAGGCACAGTTCGCGACGATTTGAGTTATATGGACTTGGACGCATCATGGCTTGGACGCATGATGGAAATGATGGTTCAGAATAGTTCAAAAGTAGCGAGAAGGCGAAAATCGACGAATTTAGAGAAATATGAGGTTTCAAAAAAGTGGTAAAACTAGGGGCTGAACTGGAATGTAACGACAGAAGTTGAATGTGAGAGCTATTTGGACGAGCTGTTCGAATAAGTGTCCACGGACGCCACGGCAGGGGCCAGTTTTGGAGCCTTCGTTAGCGCTATCTAAGCCGTTATTCGACTCGAGAGCGTCTCTTATTGCTAACCTTGAGGGTCACACGTGAATCCCCGAGAAAAATCTCAGAAATCATTCTCATCGTGAAATGTGCCTTTAAAGGAGGAAAAGGGTTCAGAATGATGAGATGTAATGAAGATGGTATGAAGTAGCGTCAATACAGAACTCAAGCAGTAAGAGTCAAAAAGCGTGCGTGTTTCAAGACTGATTTTTTTCTTCACAAAGAAATCAGTTGTAGGACAAGTCATTTTTGTCGACTGGAGCACGCGTACAAGGCGAAAACTTAACTTGTGCCATAAAAATGGGATGCTATGTTGAAAAGCAGAAATAGGCGTCACAAATAGCGTTCGACAATATGTCAATTGTTGAGTGAAAAATATTACATATTTCTGAAACCAGTAGGTAACAAAATGACGTAAAATTTACTGTGAGAGTGGTTATACCGTACTGTAGTCCACTAAACCATCCGTACTCCTTATCGCCCCATCCCAGCTTGTATCGAAGATAAGAGTACTGTATGTCCATTAACCCTGAAAAATTCATGTGCTTCCCAAATCCTCACTGAGTTAAGCGGCTCACCTGCAAATATAAGAAGTTCCACCCCGAAAGCTAATAAATTCAATCCGAGAAGCATCCGAAACTTGCGGGGAGCTGTGAGGACTTCTCGGTACTCGGATAGCGCTTGAGCGGACTTCTGATACATTCGCATCAACAAACCTGAGAACGCCTGTCAAATTATTCGAAAAAAAGAAAAAACGAAATTTACCAGTGCTTGCAATGGGCGCATCATGAGAACTGCTCGAATCTTCTACAAAGATCAGAATGTAGAAGAAAGCGATCGCTTGTAAAATCAGCATGAATAAAAATGTATACGAGTACCCGAGGGCTCTGAAAAACGACAAAAGTAAGCCTATAACTGAAGAACCTGATACAGAATGATCAAGAAAATTTATCAATTTTGTTCTCTTGTGCGGTTTTGGGATAACCAATTCATTCTACTCTCTAATGTTTCGATGTAATCATGTGAGAAGCTTCAGTCATGTTGAATACAAGAATACGAACCTATCATACCGTGCACATAAAATCACCACATCAAAACTGTTACCCTTGAATTTACTCTAGCAATTTCGACGACGTTTTTCGTAACTTTCCTTGGAATTCACAAACGACTTTAATTTTTTTT